AGAGAGAGAGAGAGTTTTTTGTACATCCTTTTTCCATTTTAATTTTTTGCACTCTTTTAATTTTTAATGACTATTTTACCGCTATATGAAAATTATTATAATTCAACAATATGGAAAATTGCCACCAAAAATATTTCTCGCCAAAAAATTTTGGACAAAAATTTTACCGCCGAAACAAAAATCTGACAAACATTTCCCACCCATTAAAGAAGACAAGTGTCTGAATGTCCGTCAACCTTAAAAGAGAGAGAAATTAAACGGTATTTCTAAGAAATTGGCAGGAAATTTTTTGTTAGAGAAATTAAACTTTTCCCACCCAAATTAATATTGCAGCAGTAATCTCGAAATGAAAAAAATTACAATGTTGAAAAGATGTATAAATGATGTTTAAAATATGTATAAATAGTTGTTAAAGAGTTATAAAATAATTTACAAGAGTTTTAAAATTATTTTTAAAGGATTGACAAGGGATTTTTAAAAATATTTACAAGATTTTTGAAACGGTATTTATAAGAAATTAGCGGGAAAATTTTGTTCAGAAAATGTTTTTGGATACAAATGTTTTTGGCGAAAACGTTTTTGGCATGAAAATTTTGGCGGGAATATATATTTTCTCCTCATGTGTTCTCATTAAAAAAAAAAAAGTAACTTAGTCATGTTGAATATAGATGAAGGTATATTTGAAAATATACAACAAGAGAGAATATTTTTGCAAAAGAGTATGGAAAAGAAGACAAGTGTCTGAATGTCCGTCAACCTTCCAAGAAAGAGAAATTAAACGGTATTTCTAAGAAATTGGCTTGGCATAAAAGTTTTGGCGGGAATATACATTTTCTCCTCATGTGTTCTCATTAAAAAAAAGTAATTTAGTCATGTTGAATATAGATGAATGTATTTTTGAAAATAGACAACAAGAGAGAGTATTTTTGCAAAAGAGTATGGAAAAGAAGACAAGTGTCTGAATGTGCGTCAACCCTCTAAGAGAGAGAAATGAATGTCTTCTAACGAGGAGATTATCATATGCGTCCGACTGCCAACCGTAGCACGTGCAAATAGTTCTAAAGAACACTGTCATGTCTTGACTCAGAGGTTTATTTCCCCGAAACAGCTGAAATACAAAACACTCCTTATCAGAAGATATAATCATGAGCAATTTGACCTCATTAGTTGGTGTGTACAGTTACTCTAGCCGACATATAGGTTTGATGCAGTTACATTATCATAACAACCCACTCGACGACTTTATTTCGACGTCGTGTCCCAATGACGTGCAGGGCTTGTTGTAGCGGGGAAAAGCCGATTTTGGTCATATATGGTTTAACATGATTTACGGCGGTCGATAGTTAAGAAAATCGTATTTTTGAATTCTAAGTAAGCATTTAGAGGCAATCTTAAGAACTCAGCTTTTAGACCATCATTATCGGTCGTTCCTTAGCAACTATTAAAGTAAATCTTATGACTTTTCTAATTAAAATTAAATGGAAAATGATGCATTATCGTTAAAAACGCCTTTTGGATAAGAGAGAAGATTTGTGTTAAGAGACGGCACGTGTCTTATTCTAATTGGTCAAAGGAAAAAACAAAAGGAAAAAAAATTTGTGCTTTCTCTCTTCTCTCTCTCTTTAAATCACTCCCTTTATTTTTGGTAGCTCCGTTTTCTTTTTGGTATGGTTTGTTTGGAATACTTGTACTTGCGTCCAAAAGAATTTCTATAGATTGGATTCGACAAGAAACAAACTAAGCTTTTCAATTAGAACTTCTTGTGATTTCTTCACAAAATTGTGTTTATCAACACATTCTCAAAAATATTTCTTATAAATTATAATAAAAAAACTAGATTTTGTAATAATTGCTTCTATATGTCTCTCCTACAACAACTTATAAACAAAAAAATAATAAACTCATATTTAAACTTATGAAAATGTCAATAATACTTTATTTTAAAGTTTATATAGAGTTAAAATATTAATAAGAGAAATTTGTGAATTATGCCATGTACAGTAACAAAGTTTCTACTCAGTGCCATTTGTTTTTTTACTTTCTCCCGCCTGCCACAACACATTATATAAAAGACTATTATACCCTCTTGCTAATTAACTCTGCAAATTGAAAGTGACCTTTCATACTCTTTTTCTCTTTTCTCGTATGTCTCTTTCTCTCTCTTTTTTTTTGTTCTTTCACTTTTTTTTTTCTCCGGTAACAAACCAAGAGATTTCTAATTCCATCAGCTTTAACTCTAACAAAAAAATATCAATCAGTTCTAAAGATGTTGTCTAGAAGTTGTCTGCTGCATCTCTAATGGATCAATTCGATGGACCAGATCTAGTATATCAGATCCGGTGGACCATGTCCAGTGAACCAGTTCGTTAGATCTTTTTCACCCTTGTTTTCTCCTATAAAAGGATCTCAATCAGCTTTGCAGATTCTCTCTAGAGATTATGTGTTCTATTTCCGATAAACCAATTCCGATGGACCAGATCTGGTAGACAATATCCTGTGAACCAGTTTCGGTGGACCGAACTTGTCTAATTTTACTAAGTAATCGTGTCCATCACGCAGATCTTTTAAAGCCATAAGCGAATGACCAAACGATGTCACAAGTGATACGTCAATGGAAGATATCATCTAAGATCCATGTATATTTACACTCTTAACCACACATTTGTCTATAGATGGACCAGATCTCGTGGTCTAGATTTGGTGGACCAAATCTCGTGGACTAGATCTGGTAGACCAAATCCGATGTCTGTAATATGTCCATATTTTGTTTTCTAACTTGTTGTTTCATTCTTTATGAACTAACTTGTCTATAATACATATGTTAGTGTGGTAATAATAATGGGTAGTGAAAAAGAACAACCAATAATGATGGACGATACATATATTTATATTGTCTGCCGTAATTAATGATGGACAAGATATACTGCACCAAACATGGCCATCAACACAGTTGTCCATATCTTCTTCTAACTCATTTCTTTGTGTTTGTCCTTCACCGGTTTAAGAAAACCTAGGCAAACCTTGTATGAGTAAAAAGCCTACTAACCACACGTGAGAGGACATGCAACGGAGTTATCCCTCAGAATCTGCCAAAATAAGTTTTTGATAGACCATACCTACTTTTATATTTTGTCCATCATACATTACTTACTCGTCCGCCATTTTTGACATCATTTTATAGATTGTCTATCAACTATAGTGCACACATCGATAGGCAAGTGGACATCCGTACACATCTAAGCTTATTTATTTGATGGACAACTCATATAAAATCTCTAGGTTACTTGTTCTCTATTAACACATCTTATATCTGGTTTTTACTTTTAGCTTTATTTTATAAATTTTTCAATCAATCGAATATCATTTGGGTATTAGGCTACCTTGTTTCCATTTAATGCTTTCATTGATTGCTCACTCAACAATGCAAAAGGGTAAAATCGTCCAAACTTTTTTCTTATGGCATGTTTTGAAAGAGGTTTTGGTTAATGGCATTTAAACAAATTTGAGTTTCAAAAGTGGCAGAGCAAACAAAATTCCCTATTAATAACACTTAAACTTGTAAGATTATAATATCTTAAACTCTATATGTAATTAAAATATTTATAATATAACTTCTTATAGAGTTTAAACATTTTATAAGTTTAAACTTTAAATATTAATAATATTTGAACCTTTTTAGAGTTTCAATATTTATAATATTTTGAAACTTTATAAAACCTTAAAACTTTTATGTATGTTTTAAAATTTAAAATTTGCTATAACTATAAAGTTTTGTAAAATACAATTTTTATTTTAATTTAATTTTTAAATAATATGTTTTTCCTAAGAACCCCAAATTAAAAACCTACCAATAAACACATCTCAAAACTAAAAACCAAAATACAATTCTTCTCTTTTAATTTTTCAATTTTACTAATAAACTAATCCTAAGATTAAAATTTAAGAGCTTGTTGATAATGTTGCTTTTATACTTGTCTCTCTCAAACAAATAAAACAAAACACTTATCAAACCGATAAAAATTGTAATTTTCGGTTTGGTTGGGTTACTTTACTTGTCTTTATATTTTTCATTTTCTTTTTTGAGTAAAAAAAAAAAAGAAAAAGTTCGGTTCAGTTTGAATTGATTTATGTTCGGTTCAGTTAATTAAAGTCAAACCGAAACGATTTATTACGGTTAACTCCGGTTTATCTTTAGTTTCGTAACCCAAAACAAAAACGCAAGTTTACAAATCTTCCAGAAGATTCTCTCAGACGAGATTTTCTCGGGAAAATTCGAATCCGGAGAAAGTGCATCAATGGAGGAATCTTTGAAATCATATGGTTTTAGGTTGAAAGCGAGAAAGATTCTCGTGAGTCCAAGCCACAAAGAACTAGCGCTCGTCGTGAATCATCTCTTTTTCCGTAAAGAATCGAAACAATATCAAACAGCGCGAGCTCTGTTCAATCACTGGGTCTCTGATTTCTCAGATTGCTTAGCCTTAAAGCTTCTTCAAGTCTATCAATCTTCTTCCAATGGCGTCACCAGGTTCCAATCGATCTATCACCTCTCTGAAACCCTAACCGATTCGAGAAATCGCGAGTTAAGACTCTCTCCTGACTCACTTTATGAAATCAAAAGGGCTTTGATTCCGTGCTTGACGATGCAGAACTAAAGAATCTGACATCAAGATCCTTAGAAGAATCGTGGGTTTTGTAGCTTACAATGTTATGGATTTGCGTAAAGATCAGTGGGACGAGCTTGGTGATGGTATCTTAACCCTCACAAAAGACGAACCTGTTAAGGCTTTTCACGTCTTCGTTGAGTTGCCAACAGTTTACAAGAGTTGCATCGACAAGTTTAAGCACCAAATCTTAGAGGAAGCTAGTAATGTGTTTCTTGATCCTTATAGAGTTGAAGATTGGAGCTTGGCTTTACATACTCTTGTGAAAATTTCGATTCAGCTTGTGAAGACAGGGATGAGACTGGATTTGATAGATGTGTTAATGGGGAATCAGATTGTCTCTTTTGTGACTGCAGTGAAGAAGCTAGTGGAGATGAAAAGGGAACATTTTTTGGTACGAGGGCTTGAAGATTTCGAGATGTCTTTCTCAAGGGACATGAATCTGTATCATTACACTACGGATCAGTGTTATTTTGTGTTGGTTTTAATGGGAAAGATTGAAGGAGTTGAGACAGATTTGACTAAGGAGATTGTGAGGAAGATCAAAATGCTGGTTACAGAACCAAACATCAAACCACATGACGATCTTAAGAATTGCAGAGAAGGGTTTGACCATTGCTGGAATGATCATTTGAAGAATTTGTCTTCACTGGAAGTGTTGAGAATCTTTGCGTCAACTGAACTTGAAGATAGGTCCAGAGAGATTGCAATCAGACGGCTCAATGTATTACTATCTGCTCACAGTTTAGAGAAGGTGCCAATAGACATTGCAGAGATAAGAGAACTTCAACCATTGCTCATGTCTTGCTTAAAGGAAGAAAGAATCTCTGACAGTATGTTCAAAGTCCTTGGTGAGGTGGTGAACCATGTCACGTATGAGATGATGGATAACCAAAAGGAGACATGCTATGAGCTGCGCGATTATATTGCATCGAGTACAACAGAGTTTCAGAGAGCGGTTTATATCTTCCAATGCTTGACAGTGGACCTTGTTGATGAGAAATTTTTGTATCCTGTGATGGAGAACCTTTTCCCACAGATTATCACAAGCCTAGATCCTCCAGGATATTTGTTGGTAGATAACAGTTGCTGGGTCTTGGCGTTTACGGGGGCCTTCTGTGCAGCAACTCAGTTGATAGAGGGCCCAGGTTATGGTGACGCCGTTAAGGAGATTGCACATAAGATGATAGATTCTGTAAGAGAGCTTGTGGAAAGAGGAATGGAAGTTGGGCTTGTGAGGAGAGCTTTCACAGATGTTGAAACCATTGTGAATAAACAGTTGGAATGGTACATGACAAGCGAATACAAATTCCTTAAGGGTCTGCTTTGGAGACTCTATGCAATCAAAGGCATGAAATGGGAAAGTAAGATTGTATTGTGGAGAATCAACGTGATAGTCGAGAGAGAAGTGAAAGAAGATGAGAAAGAGCTGCCAGAGAGTGATGATGAGTTGGATTGGCTGAACCTTACAGATGAGAAAGTTGAATAGAAAACTAGTTTTTTTGGGGGTGTATAGTCTGAAATTGTGCAGAGCCTTAGTTTTTTGGTGTATAGTTTGCATTGGAGAAGAACATTGTTAAGAATGAGGTAGATAAGAGTGTCACGATCAAAATGTACTTAGTTCTTGAAACACTTCTCTTGAAGAACTAAAGTAATACATGGATGAATCAGAGTTTTTTTGGTGGCTTGTTTGGCTTCAGGTTTATACACTAACATTGATTAGGCGTCGTTCAAAACCCACTTAAAAGACTCGGAGGGTTTGTTTTGGTCTAAGCTTGTTCAAAAGTCCCACATCGCTTGCAACGTAAAAATGGAAGACAAGAGACGTAGTATAAATAACGAGGCCAGGGGACGTGACAATTCATACCTTTCTCGGCCTTTTGGCTAAGATCAAGTGTAGTATCTGTTCTTATCAGTTTAATATCTGATATATGGGTCATCGGCCCATACGATATTAACTCTATTTTTTAAGGGGGACAGCCCGTTAAGATAGCTTGCTATCTGGGCTTTCGCGAGTCGCCCATGCTTTGCACTACTGCACGGGCCTGGCTCATCCCGCCAATTATCCAGTCCATTTTTAAATAGCTTAATTAGGCCTACGTTGTGAAATTACTACTAAAACGAATTTACCAAAGAACAAGATTTTAAAGTTGAAAATTTAAGACTCTTGAAAACCCATGGTTTAACCGAACTATATCTTGGTTTAGTCCGGTTTATAATTATAAAACTCTTTGATACCTTTGTCAGAATCTTTCCTAACTCATGGAGACGAAAATGTCAGAATCTTTAAATCTTAGGTTGAAAGCGAGAGAGATTCTTGTGAGCCCAAGCCATGAAGAACTAGAGATTGTTGTGAATCATCTCTTTAAGCGTAAAGAATCCAAAGAATATCAAACATCGTCTGCTCTGTACGACCTCTTTGTCTCTGATTTCCCAGATTGCTTGGCCCTCAAGCTTCTTCAGGTCTATCAATCTTCTTCCAGTGGCGTTACCAGATTCAGATCAATCTATCAACTCTCAGAGACTCTCACTGCTTTGAGAAACCGCAACTTCAAACTCTCTATTGACTCTCTTTATGAAATCAAAAGGGTTTTGATTACGTGCTTGACAAGGCAAGATACCAAAGAATCCGACATCAAGATTTTCAGAAGAATCGTGTCTTGTGTAGCTTACAATGTTTTGGACTTGCATAAAGACGAATGGGATGAGCTCGGTGATTGTATCGTATTGCTTGCAGTTGCAGATAAAGAACATGTCAAGGCTTTTCACGTCTTCCTCGAATTGCCACCAGTCTACGAGGAGTTCATCAAGAAGGTTCTGAAGATTATGTTAGATAAAGCTAAGGAGGTTTTGGTTAATCCTGAGGAAAATGGAGTTGATGATTGGAGCTTGGCTTTACAAACTCTTGTTAAATTGGGGATTCAGTTTTTCAATACAGGAATGAAACAAGACGTGATCAAGAATATAATGAGATCTCAGCTTTTAAATATTCTTCAATCAGCAAAGAAGCTAGTGGAGATGGGAGAAGAGAAGTTTTTGGTACGAGGGCTTGAAGATTTTCAAAGGTTCTTGTCAAGAGACATGAATCTTTATAACTACACTAAAGAACAATGCCATTTTGTGTCCACGTTCGTGAGTGAGATTGGAAATGTCAGAGAAGTAGGAACACTAACCAAGGAGATTGTAAGAAAGATCAACATGTTGTTTACAAGACAACCTCAGGGAACTCAAGATCATGAAGCTGAATTTGTCCGTGACTGGTATGGTCATTTGAAAGATTTATCTGCACTAGAAGTCTTAGAGATCTTTGCGTCCAGTGATCTTGAAGATAGGTCAAGAGAGATAGCAATCAGAAGGGTCAATGTATTACTCTCTGATCATGCAGACATTGCAGAGATGAGAGAACTCCAACCCTTGCTCATATATTGCCTTGAGGAAGAAGAAACCTCGGAAGATATGTTCAAAGTTCTAGGTCAGGTGGTGAATCACGTTGCGTATGAGTTGTTTAAACACCAAGATGTCACATGGTACGCTTTACGCAATTATATTGCATCGAGTGAAACAGAGTTCGAGAGAGCGGTTTATATCTTCCAGTGCTTAACAATGCCACTTGAAGATGAAGAGTTTGTAATTCCTGTGATTGAAGTTCTTCTCCCAGAGATAAGTAAAAGACTAAAACCACCAACAGAGTTGTTGGTAGATAACAGTTGTTGGGTTTTAGCGTTTACTGGTGCCTTCTTCGCAGCTATTCACTTGATAGAGGTCTCAAGTTATGCTAAAGCTGTTAAGGAGATTGCTCATAAGATGATAGATTCAGTGAGGAAGCTTGTGGAAAGAGGAATGGAAGTTGGGGTTGTGAGGAGAGCTTTCAGAGATGTGGAAATCATTGTGAAGAAACAAATGAGTTGGTATGGTACAAGCGAGTACAAATTGATTAAGAGTTTGCTTTGGAGACTGTATACAATCAAAGGCATGAAATGGGAAAGTAAGATTGTGTTGTGGAGAATCAATGTGATTGTTGAGAGAGGAGTGAATGAAATGGTTAAAGAGCTGCCAGAGAATGAGTTTGATTGGCTGAACCTTACCAATGTGGTTGTTGAATAGTATATAGTGAACAGTATATGATGAAATTGTTCAGAATCTTGTTTTTGGTGTATAGAAGTTTACATTGGAGAAGAAAATTGTAAAGATCGACATAGATAAGAGTTTTGGGAAATGGTACTTAAGTTCTTAAAACACTGTTAAAAGGCTTCACAATCACAAAGTACTTTAGTTTCTTCATGTCCAAGTAAGAAACGTTTACGTGATTTTGACTTTGAATTGGAAGTTTACCTTCTATAAATCTGCTTCAAGACATGTAAGAAAATGTGATTTAGTTGTTGTAAGGTTAGGAGAGTTTAGGGTTCTCTGTGTAAAAGTTTTGCAACCTCTCAAGGCTGAAGCTTTCTTGTCTTTAACGTTTTCAAGCTACACTTTAGAATGGGAATGAAGACTGATGCAGAACAGAAAAAAAAAGCATAAAAACAGAGTTTCTTGTCTCTCACGGTCTCAACCACAAACAGTGATGCAGAACCGAGTTTTCTTGTCTCTCACCCACAAAGCTCACTTTATCTCTTAATACAACGTTTTAGCATACTTATCGCTCTACCTTTGTGCAGTAACCCTAATTGAGAGCTGGCATCTTCTGCATCCATAAACGTAGACTACTACTCAGTCCTCACATTTGAATTCACTACAAGACACAACCAATCTTCCTTTTGCCTTGTCCATTTGTTGCAAAAGACCATTTGAGTCTAATGATATATCCCAAAAGCTTGACATAACTCTAGTTCCATTTGCATTAACCATTTTTCATTTCTTTCTGAAGAAAAGAACAGATTGTGTTGTGTGGGGAATCTTAGAAAGCTTCAAAACTTCTATGGTCAATCAAAGTATCAAGGGTTTTGTTTTTGGGCCTGCTTAGAGAGGAAAATTTTCAATATTATTCTAGAATGATAGACGTATTCGTAATAATTCATCCAACGGAAAAATCAACGAACAAGTTGATTTCTTATTGACCTTTGTCGTCGTCTCCTTGAAACGCAAGCTTTGTTCCTTCCTCTGCAAGTTTCCCTTACTCTTTGTATTATTTTGACTTGACTCGATAAGACTTTTAAAAAAATGAAACCAAGAATTGTCCCCAAAAAAAAAAGTATTCGCTAGGTGATTAGTCTATAAAACCTCTCACAGTTTTAAAACATTTCATCATCACTTCTCTAAAACCTCTACTCTCAATCTCTTTTACCGGAATAAAATTTCTAGGTCATCGGTTTATTCTTTTTGGTACTAAGAGATGTATCAATCATCTGATTTCTCTTTCTCACCGTCGTCGCTGTTCTCAGCGTACGCATCTTTAACCGGGTTCTTGATGCTCTTTAGATCAATTCTCCAAGATTTCATACCGGTGAAGCTTCGATCTTACTTCTCCCACTTACTCGACGGGTTCTTTACCCCGAAATCGAAGAATATAACCGTGGTTATTGACGAGAACTTCAGACTGAAGAGGAACCAAGTCTTTGACGCGGCGGAGATGTATCTCCGGAACAGAATTGGACCTGATACAGAACGTTTACGAGTCGGTAAGACCCCTAAACAGAAGCATTTCACAATCACGATCGAAAAAGGCGAAGCGATCATCGATAGTTTCGAGGATTCTGAGGTGAGATGGAGCTACTGTCAATCGGAGAACGAGAAAGGAGATAAAGTGAAACGTTACTACGAGCTCACGTTCGAGAAGAAGCTTAGAGAAAAAGTCATGGACTCTTATTTAAGCCATGTTGTAGCCGAATCAGAAGGGATTAAGCATAGTCTAAGAGCGGTGAAGCTTTATAGCCGAGATGTACACGCGAGGGACGATGATGATGGAATGGTTGATAGGAATTATTGGGGATGCATCAATCTCGAACATCCATCGACGTTTGATACATTGGCGATGGATCCGAATGCGAAGAAGAAGATCATTGATGATTTGGAGAGGTTCTTGAAGAGAAAAGAGTTTTACAAGAGAGTTGGTAAAGCTTGGAAACGAGGTTACTTGTTGTATGGACCTCCAGGAACTGGCAAAACAAGTTTGATTGCTGCAATGGCTAATTATCTTAAGTTTGACGTGTTTGATCTTGAGCTTAGTACTATTTACGACAATGGTGAGTTGAAGAGGGTTTTGTTATCGACGACGAATCGTTCGATTTTGGTTATTGAGGATATAGACTGTAATGCTGAGGTGAGAGACAGGGGAGCTGATCATGAGAGTCAAGAAGATGATTATGAGTATCAAGAAGTTAAAAATAGGAATGGAAAGGTTACTCTATCGGGAATTCTGAATTTCATTGACGGGCTATGGTCGAGTTTCGGAGACGAGAGGATCATCGTGTTCACGACGAATCACAAAGAACGGCTAGACCCTGCTTTGCTACGTCCTGGAAGAATGGATGTTCATATCAATATGTCTTATTGTACAGGTCTAGGATTTAGGACATTGGTCTCTAACTACCTCGGTTTAGATGGCGTAAACCATCCTCTTTGCGAGGAAATCGAGGCGCTGATCGATTCTACGGAGGTGACTCCTGCTGAGTTAGCGGAAGAGCTGATGCAAGATGATGATACTGATGTGGTTCTTCGAGGAGTGGTTAGCTTTGTTGAGAAGAGGAAGGTTGAGAGAAGTGATACTAGTAAGGAGGTTTCTATTTGTAAAGTAACTGATGATGATGATGACGAAAAACAGATTGGTTCTTTGGATTATGTAAAGAAGAAGAAGAGGAAAAGTGGTAAACAAAAAGCAAAACCGAAAGGCCAAGACCAGTATTCTAAAATGGTTTACGCGGATGGGTTAACAGAATCTAGAAAGTCTTTTAATTAAAAGATTTATTATATTTAATTGTTTTAAGTATTATTATATTTTGTTTCAAATAAATTCTATAATTAGTCACTAAACCTTTGGAAATTAAAGTTTACAAAATAAGTTTAAAATTTTATATTTTTCAATTTTTACATTTTTAATAAAGAATTTTTTTTTGCCTACATTTTTCTTTTGTTTAAGTTATGAGATTATTTATATAATTCAAATCTATTTAACCATACATAAGACTTTATTGAATTTCTATCTGAAATTATATTTATATTTTGTCTAATTAAAATAAATGAATTCCATTCATGTATATAAATATATAAATTTCATTTCTGAAAAAAAACAGAAGTCGATTCCACATTGTGTGAGATCAATGGCAAGGGGAAGAGCTGCAGTGGTTGATTCAACTGTAGAGAAGATTCTCGAGTTTTGCTCTTTCCAAAAGGAGCTTTAGGGCATCTGCAACGGCGTTTTTTGTCGCCGTCCCACCCATTTAAAAAAAATAATAATAATAAAAAAAAAAAAAATGAAGGACGTTTCCAAAATTGCGATGGTCCAGCGTTTCTTTCTTCATTATTCGGGGGGCCCACTGACACGTGGCGGTCTACGATTGGTGATTTTTTTTTAAATCTTAAAATTTTAAAAAAGAAACTTTTTTTTGGGGGACGAATTAAACCGATGCACATGATCTTAGGATGGTGATTTTGGAGTAGTGAGACAGATTGTGCAGAAGGATCCAAGAAGGTTACTTCGTGGGTTGGAGGGCAGCCAAGTAAACCCAAATGTCTTGGATGTCTGAAGACTATAGCATTCAAAAGGGGGATTGTCATGAATTTCTAGCTTCTACTCCACTTGAGCATAAGACACAAGACACAAAAGAATATTCATGCCCCAACTTCTTAAAAGGTCTATCTCAGGTGGGCAAACAAGTAAGCATAGTAATATATCATAGTTTTCACGGTTTTTAACCATGGTATAAGTAGTATTTCTAGAGTCTTTTTACGGTTTGTAAGGTCTTTTGGAATCTTTTTAGGATTGGAAGCTATTTGGCACGAATAAGAGCAATTTTGAATTTTTTGGAGCATACGGAGAAGCTGGGTTGAAGAAACTTATTCAAAACCAAATTTCTTCAGCCCAACTTCTTCATATGCTCCAAAAATCTCTACATTGCTCTAGTTCGTGCCAAATAACCCATAATCATGAAAAGACTCCAAAAAACCTAAAAATAATAAAAAAGACTCTAGAAAGACTACTTATATCATAATTAAAAACCGTAAAAACAATGATATATCACATAGCTAACCAAGTAATAACTAAAAAACCGCGGCACATGCTCTTTAAACCATACAACATCAGCCTAAGAAACCAAAGGTGAATGGGTTCTTAGCTTCTCCCAAGTCTCGTTAGAAGAGAAAGATGAACATAAATTACCTGAAGGCTTGGGGGTTGTATAATCTGCACACACAAAAATAATAGTAAACTCAATCAAAATTAATTGAATTGGGTCTGATATTACCTCGTGGTCTCATCAGTCACACGCTTGACGATGATATTAAGGACACTAACAAAGTATTGTAGATAACTTGGTCCGCAAGATAACTTTTTCACAAAGACAACATTGTTCCGAGTATTCCACTCTGATGGCCTCCTTGGGTACAGCTTGAGTTGAACTGTGCATTCATCACCTCTGCCATCACCGGCCTCATATCCATTAGTTGTGGCTACTCAGTGACTAAGCTAATCAGCTAATGGGTTCAAGAACATGATATTATACACACAAACTTTTTCTGATTTTTTTATAACGATTCATCAACTTCTTATGACCGAATTATGAAGTTAGTATGGTCTTGTACTCGTTTGCTCGGGCAGTCGTATTGATTTATCGGGCTTTCGGTTTTCGGTTTTTTTCTTCTCTAATCTAAACTCGATGACTTTGTTTCCAAAAGGATCTCAACCCTTACCAGCCTTGTCTCCGTAAGGGTCTTAACCTTAATTTGTCCAATTCCAACAAAATATCCCTGCGGAAATTAAAGAAGAAACATTGTATTAACCATCTGAAAAACCAAACCTATCAAAGTAGTGTGTTTTGGCTTATAGAAAACTCAATAAACGCAAATATAATTGGTTCAAAGAAAAAAAAAATTGACAGCATTAAGAATCATTGTCAAAACAGATAATTAAAGAGCACACTGTTTTAAATAGATAAACCATAACCAGAGTAGTGTATTTAAACTTCTTATTATAGCTGATTCTTACGTTACTAGTTTCACTTTCACATGTTACCCGGTGGTGGTGGCGGCGGGATATCCCAAAACCCATTAGCCATTGGAGGTGGTGGTGGCGGCTGTGGTGGAAGTCCGTTTGCTCCTACAGTGAACTGAGCCTTGTTGTTGATCTTAAAACACACCTGAAAAGTAAACATCTTGGAATCTTGATCCCAATGAGAGAAAAACTTTGGAGATGATTTATCAATCTCAGTGCTAGGAACCTTGAAATATATGGTTTCATATGGCTCAGCTGCAAACAAAAGGTATTGATACCTCTTGTCATAAGGTTGAACTTTTTGTTCATAAGATGACATGAAACGATGTCTTGGCTTTAAGTTGTCTTCTATCTCAGGGTATTGAATCTGGAACAGTATACATCTTTGCTTCAGCTCAGGATCGTACTGCTTTGTAACCTTATACCCTGGTTTACCTATTTTAACAGTTCTGCGAACAGAGACTACTTTGCGCTTATGTGGTAGCGGCTGCGGCTTAGCTGGAGCATCCTTAGCCTCTTTGGCAGCTCTCATAGCCAAGTTGATCTGATGTCTCTTACCTTGAGTGTGTGCCAAGTAATTTCCTTCGTTGTTATGCAACGTTGCACATACTGTACATTCATAGGTTCCAAGGTGGTTTTTAAAGAGATAAGGATCATTAGCAAGGTTTATGGTTTCAAGAGCAAGACGGCGGAGACGCTCACGACGATCTATGGCTTCGTTCTGGCGAGAGGCTGCACCTCCGCCAGGCTTTGAACCCCACGCTCTATCCATAGCTAGGTTACGAAGAACGTTAACTTGAAACCCTAGAAAGAAGAGAAGAACGATTAATTCTAGGGTAAGATTGTTCAAAAGCTTTGATCTGAATTATTAAAAACATGAACTCGTGAGGATACATGTATTTATATTATTTATTCTAGAAAATCTATAATTTGTATATTTTCTTATATTGCATAAAACTTTGCTATTTCTTTTCTTTGTTGTACAAGGCATATGGTAGGTGCATTGAGCATATTTGTCATCAGTTTAGGACTTGCAATATATTTTCTAATAGTACGTCCTTATCAATCTTCCAAACAAAGAAACGAGTTTCATGATCTCAAAAATAGTTTCTATGGATTTCACGACCACTCTTAGTGGTGTTAAATGTGATTTGCTGATGAGAGTCCATAGAAGACTTGTTGGTACTAGCAACAACATCCCATATTAGCTGTTATATCAACAGTCTTAATTTTGGGTACAATGCTACTAGCAACAACAGAACAGTCCCATATTAGCGATTCGACTAATTCATGTAGTACATTTAAATTTAACTTTACTTTGTGAGGTTATACGCATGGTTCAAAGTTCTTGGTTTATAGAAAAGCCAATGCAACTTAGTTCATTTAAGGATCGGGTGTTTTCCTTACAAAACATTATTATTATAAACAGAGATGCCTCAATGGCGCTCATAAGGAAAAGGCATAAACTTCTTTTACGGTTCGGTTACTAAAAGTTATGAAAGATGAGATGATAACTTTACCAGTATACACCATTTTTCTCAATGAGACTGGGATGTAAACTTAAAGTAAAAGAAAAAACTTCACTGAGATTGTCTTTGAACTATATATATGATCAGCGCGGTGCAATGGAGGGAATGACGCCACTGACGAGCTGGTTACCTGTGAAGTCAGAAAAGTTATTGTAACTGCCTCTTGGGGAAAAAGCAGCGAAGCCTGAAGTTCCTGAAGCATATGATTGGACTGAAGGGCTTGAGTATGGCTTATCTTCTTTAGGAAGCATCCCGTAGAGGTTCTCCAGCTCCCTCACGATTTCGAGCATCGTCGGACGAGCATCTGGATTGTCCTGACAACATTTGATGGCCAGTTCCATGAATCTCTTCACACATTCCTCCGAGTACTGCCCCATGCTCCCGTCTATCACCGACATCATCATCCCAGCTTCGCACGCTTCATTCACCTCCCGGACGATGTTTCTTCCGTGTGATATGGGACGCATTCCTGTTAGGATTTCCAGAAATACAATGCCGAGGCTGTATACGTCACTCTTCTCTGTTAGCCTGTGGCTCAAGTAGTATTCTGGATCCACATATCCCTGTATACATAATAGGTTCAAGAATTAGTCTCCTTCCCTAAGAGATTAAAAACAGAGGATTTTGGAACAGTAACATACAGGGGTGCCTTTGACAATGGTAGTTACGTGATCCCTTTGCACTCCTCCACCATCTAGTGCTATGAGCTTTGAGATTCCAAAGTCTGCAACTTTAGGGTTCAGCTTGATGTCTAGAAGAATGTTACTTGGTTTGATGTCTCGGTGAATGATTGGTGGGTCAGCTTCTGTGTGCAGATACAAAATCCCCCTCGCAGACCCGAGCGCTATTCCCAGTCTCAGCCCAAAATTCAGCGGCTGTCTGAACCTTGCTGCAGTTTGATACATTCATCTATCACAATCATCCCACTACACTACTAATTATACAAAGACAAGAAGGACCTTACCAGAGAGTGCGTCTTGAAGAGAACCATTGGGCATGTATTCATATACCAACATCTGACATTAGACATAACAAATTAACTCACTTGAAATTACACAATCTTGAAACTTGTAATGTTAAGAAGAGACTCACTTGTTCTCCTTTCTGATCGCAGTAGCCAAGCAAAGAAACTAGGTTTCGGTGATGTAGCCGAGAGAGCAACTCGATCTCTGTGAAGAACTCTTTTTGTCCTTGCAGAGAACCTTGCTCCGCACGTTTGACTGCTACAACAAGGCCACCTGGTAAATGGCCTTTGTAGACCTTCCCATAGCCTCCTCGGCCAATCTGAGAAAGATCACTGAAACTGCTTGTTGCTGAATCAAGTTCTGCGAAATTGTAACCCTTCACGCTCTCCATATTCATAGGAGATTTTGAAACTAGGTCCAGGAGAGCAAAATGGAGATAAGCAGCATTAGACATTCTTTAAAGAACAAAAAAATAAAAACAGAGAGATTGACTTAGTTTTCACTTACTGGGCTGTTCTTGTTCCATGTCAGCTTCCTTAGTTTTTCTCTTTTGTTTTCTTCTTCTGATAAAGAAGATCAATGCTAGAGAGGACAATACAAGGAAGAAAGCAATGGCTCCTAAAACGATACCAACTTTGCCGCCTTTGCTCCTTCCCGATTTTTCCGGGAATTTGATAGTAACTGCATAAACGAGTAACATAAATACAAACTCATTTTATTTAACAATGAAGAGTAGAAGATATGTATATTACCATCTTTGTAAGCACCAGTGTCGATCTTGATAATCTCATAGGGGCCAAGAGAATCATCAGTATCAAGAGTGAAAGTTGCAAAGAAGTCCACAATACGTTGAACCTCTGTGTTGTTAAATTTACTGTTTAATGCACTGTATTCAGGAAATATCTTCATGTTCATGGCTAGCCTTGGACCCAATTGCCATGAGAATGAGTCAATAGATATCTGATATGGATTTATCCCGAGATTTTTGGCGGAGGCCACATCGAGCATGTAGGAGACTTTGTAAGGTCGGAAGTCAGAGAAACTTGGACTCCTAAGCCTAAGTCCAATGCCAAGTGGTGCAGCGCAGAAACACGCAACTGGAGCACCAATCACATAATCGTAGTTTTCGCTTAAGGGGCACGACTGGCGTTTGCAGTCTCCCGTAGTTGTGTTCTCCGAAGAAGTTCCAGGGGATTCCACTTCTACCATTGAGAGTCCGCAGAGATTAGCTAGATTTCCTCCATTAACATTTGTACAAACTGGGTTTCCGTAAAGCCTGCTCATCAAAACAGAGTGATCTCATTTCTCTATCAACATTTTCAATCATTTGTTTAGTTGTTCTTTTATTAAAACATAATCTTACTTGACTGTGACATTGGAAGGAGGGTTTAGAAGTGTGCTTGACACATTTGAAAACATGTTGTTTCTCAAGTCCCTGCAAATTGTTCCAATCAAAATCAATCAAAAACTACTAGTCTTGTTTGAAAAACATTGACCTCCTCTGTTTTGTATATATAACGTGTCTTACAGGGTAAGTTTCTCCGTTGTATTGAAGCTCCTATTCTCCCATATCACAGGAACCTCCCCGCTCAAGTTGTTGTTCTGCACTTGCCTGAAAATATAAAGACAAAAACTCTTGTCTTTCTTTTCTTTGGTTTCTTCCTTAAAATAACATTTCACTTTTGATTCACTAAGAAATGAGAAGAGTTTGAAGGTTCTAATTACAGTCTTTGTAGCCGTGGAAGGCCTGAAAAGTTTGAAGGGATGGATCCGTTGAGCATATTGTTGTACAGGTTACTGCATACAATAAACAAGTTCAGTTCAAGTTTGTCAACAACACAACATTCCATTTCTTGGCTTGGCCACTTACATAGTTGTAATGTTTGCAGAGAACTTGTTCTTGGGAATTTCTCCTGTGAGTTTGTTGGAGGATATATCTCTAAAGCATCATCAACATTAAAAAAAAAAGTTACAGAGACTATTTTAGTATAGATTGCTAATGGTTTCTTCTTGTTAAAGTGACTCACAAGTAATAGAGAAACGGTGATTGGCTCAAATCAGGAATTGGTCCTTTTAATTTGCAGTTTCTGAGACTCCTGTGTGTTATGTGTGACCAAAAAAATCAGTACGTCGAAAGGAAAACAAAATATTCTGCTATGTTCTGTTTCTTACAGTTTGACGAGATGTGGTATCGATCCGTAAGATGATGGGATCTCAGTGCCATCGAAGTTGCTACCATCCAGTTGTCTGTAAATGAAGAAGCAAACTAAGTTGAATGTGGAAAAAAGTTATTGTCTTCAATAAGAAGTTAAAGACGCAAAGAAGGTGCTTACAGAATTCTCAAGCTTGGCATCTGAGAGAGCTCAGGCGGAAGATTTCCAGTTAGCTTGTTATTGTCCATCAAGCTGTATAAGTTGAGCCACACAACAAAGACCTGTTCAGATTTGTATAAGATAAAACAAATTTAAATGTAACGAAGAAACTTACAAGTGGAGAACATTGGTTAATGAAGAGTACTCAGGCGGAATCTGACCCGTGATTGAGTTGTTGTTCATGTGACTGGCAAAGAAATGACAAGTGACGTCAGAAGGGTTTGAAGAAAGAAGAGAGAAAAGAAGTAGGACAGAGGGAGATCTCACAAATGCTTCAGTTTTTTCAGATTTGCCAAGGACGTTGGAAGTTCTCCGCTAATTTCATTGTAGTCTATCTGAAGGATCAAGAGATTGGAAAGAGAGCCGAGTTCTCGAGGCAAAGATCCTGTCAGTTGATTTCCACTTAGTAGCCTGCAAAAACAGAAGAACATAAAATCTGTTCAACTAATGCGTTCATGAAGGGGGAATGTTGAAGAAACAATGATCAAAGACTACTTACAAGAAAATGAGATGAGTCAAGTTTCCTAGCTCTGGTGGAACCTGACCAGTGAGATCGTTCCACATGAAGTTCCTGCGATCAGAAACTTTATATAAAAGGAGAGAATTTGATATATAGTTTGATTGCCAAAACCGGAGCTCAGACAAAAACATAGGACATACAGTATGGTCAGATTTGGTAACAAGCCAAGTTCAGGTGCCAGTTGTCCAGTAAGGTTCATGTTTAGCAACCGCCTGCATCATTTGATCGAACCATATCACATCTTCCAAGTTTGGTTTTAGGAGTTTTAACCAATAAAAGAAACAAGAAAGTCTAAAAGTCTGAACGTACAGCTCTTTAACATGATAATAACCATCTGAAGTATCATTGAAGCATAAGACACCGGTCCAGTTAGAGGCGCATGGATCCGTCTTCTCTTTCCAGTCTTGGAGATGATACAAAGGGTCCTTCAGTTTCCCGCGAACAGCCTGCATAACAAACTCTGCAAAATAAAACCTTCATTAGCATCACACATCAATGTTCACACATAAACACTGCTCAGAGATATATAAAGGACCATACTATCGGTTGGATGAGTGATCTGTTGAGCATACAGCAAAGAAAAACAACAAGAAGACAACACCAGAATGACCCCAACTACACCCATCCTCTCTTTCATCTTCTTTTCTGATTTGTTCCAATAACAGGACCTCTTAAGATCCTGAGAAAAAGTCTTAAACTTGGAGAAAGAATATGAATCGAAGAAAGAGCACTACATATGGAAGTTTAAGCAACAAATGACTTTTAACAACTCAAAATGGAACTATCACTACCCCCAAGTTGGTAATTTTGTTGCCATATTTAAATGTAATAGATGAGTGTTAGACGCGGTTAGAAGGCAATTAACGGTTTGTTCAAGTCTCTTCTCCCCCATTGGATTGGAGGAATAAAATCAGAATAGCTGACTTCTTCTGTGTTCATGCAAGTTACTTCTTACTTTTTCTCTTTTTATGAAAAATTCAAACCTTATAAAACAGAGGCAAACACAATGGACAAAACCTCAACCATATCAACCTTTAACTGTTAACATCAGTTTAGTTCTTAGAGTAATGGTCAAAACACATCGTTATACACAGGCTACATTTTTTTCTCTTCTCTTTAAAGACAGAGTTTTACTAATAAGGCATAGAAATGAACTATTTTGACTTGTTCAGAAACAATAATTCAGGAAAACCCTCGGAACAATTTTGACTTATTCAGAAAAATAATCTGTAGTGACGTATAACTATTTTGACGAATTCATATAAATATTTTGTGGAACTGAAAGTAGAACATTAACCAAGCAAAGCAAGAGAATCTCCAATACGAACACACAAAACAGATTTGACTTGACAAAAGGTGTTTTTGTAAGTTTTTAAAAAATTAGTGACTAAGAATCTAAGATATTAAAATGGATCCGTTGACTCTGTCTTTTTGCCATATGTTTGCTGCTAGTGGATGGATCTTGTTCATTTCTAAAATCACATACATAACAAAAACCAGTAGTAGTAATCCATAGAAGTTACCTCTTTATAGCCATAATCTGGCTGAAAATTGTGGCCAGGAAGGAGCCGTCTCCCCAATTGACGGTGGGTCGTCTTATCCTAGAATATGTCAACATCAATTATAGATTCAGACACAATACAGAATTGAGAAAAATTAACAAGATAAGCAAATATGTAAGAATAGGCAAAGTGTAGTCCTTTCTGGAACAAGATGTTTTAGGTACCGTCTTTGCATACCTTAGGAACAGTATTGAGAAGAGAAACCTTGTGTACACATATTAGAAACTAGAAGCATAGTACCTGCAGAACAGTCTTGAGAAGTGTACACATATTAGAAACTAGAAGTATAGTACCTGCAGAACAGTCTTGAGAAGTGTACACATATTAGAAACTAGAAGCATAGTAACTGCAGAAGTCAGAACAGTCTTGAGAAGTGTTTTGAAAACTGAGTATATTGCCAAAACTCAAGATAACATGTATGCTTTACTTGTTTCTATACAATCTTCTTCCACAATGAAAGCTATACATCAAAAACTAGTTTCTGCAGAATTTCAAATTTTTTACATCCCTAAGCCTCAGGTAGATTCAGCCAATCAAACTCATTATCTGGCAGCTCTTTAACCATCTCATCCACTCTTCTCTCAACAATCACATTGATTCTCCACAACACAATCTTAGTTTCCCATTTCATGCCTTTGATTGTATACAGTCTCCAAAGCAGACCCTTAATCAATTTGTACTCGCTCTTACCATACCATCGCATTTGTTTCTTCACAATGCTTTCCACATCTCTGAAAGCTCTCCTCACAACCCCAACTTCCATTTCTCTTTCCACAAGCTTTCTCACTGAATCTATCATCTTATGAGCAATCTCCTTAACGGATTTAGCGTGACCTGAGACCTTTATCAAGTGAATTGCTGCAAAGAAGGCACCCGTAAACGCCAAAACCCAGCAACTGTTATCTACCAACAACTCTGTTGGTGGGTCTAACCTTCTGCTTATCTCTGGGAGAAGAAATTCAATCACAGGAATCACAAACTCCTCATCTTCAAGCGGCATTGTTAAGCACTGTAAGACATAAACCGCTCTCTGGAACTCTGTTTTACTCGATGCAATATAATTGCGTAAAGCATACCACGTGACATCTTGGTGTTTGAACAGCTCATATGCAACATGACTCACAACCTCACCTAGGACTTTGAACATGCTGTCTGTGATTCCTTCTTGCCGAAGGCAAGAGATAAGCAATGGCTGGAGTTCTTTCATCACTGAAAAGTCTATATCCACTCTCATTGAAGTGTGATCAGAGAGTATGACATTGAGTTGTCTGATAGCAAATTCTCTGGTCCTATCTTCAATATCAGTTGACGCAAAGATTTTCAAAACTTCAAGTGATGATACAGTCTTCAAATGATCAAGCCAGCCACGATCAAATTCTTCTCTATGATCTAGGCTGTCCTGAAGTTGTACGATCGATGAGCTATGTTTTCTGGCAGGTTTACCCTGTGTTTGAACCAACCGATTGATCTTGCTTATAATCTCCTTGGTCTGTGCTCCAAAATCTTTGATCTCCATCATGAAAGCCATCACGACATGACATTGTCCCTTATTGTAACTATACAGACTCTTGTCTCGTGTCAAGAACCTCTCAAGATGTTCAAGCCCTCGTACCAAAAACTGTTCCATCCCCTTCTCCACTAGCTCTTTTACAGACTTCCCAATAATAGAAAGAAGATTATCTAAAACTTCCACATATCTCATATCCCAAAGCTGAATCCCCATTTTCACAACAGTTTCTAAAGCCAAGCTCCAATTTTCAACTTCACTCTTTACAGGATTAAGCAAAACCTTCTTAGCTTCATCAACAATTATGTTCATAAACTTGTCGATGAATGTACCGTAGACCGATGGCAAATCGACGAAGACGTGAAAAGCCTTGGCTGGTTCTGTACTCGCTAGCCAGAGGATACAATCACTGAGCTCGTGCCATCCACCATTATCGCAAATCAAAACATTGTAAGTTACAAGAGAAACGATTCTTCTAAGAAACTTCATGTCAGATTCTTTGGTTTCTTGCATCGTTAAGCATTCAATCACAAGTGGTTTGATTTCACGGAGAGCGACGCTGGAGAATTTGAAGTCGCGGTTTTTGAATTCGGCGAGGGTTTCAGAGAGGAGATAGATCGATCGGAATCTATTGACGCCGTTCGAAGAACGTCGATACACATGGAGAAGCTTTAGGGCTACGCAATTTGGGAAATTAGCAACGCAGAAATAGAAGAGAGTAAGCGCCGTTTTACATTCGTTTGTTTCTTTAGGCATTGAGATTTGTTCGACGAGAAGCTCTGCTCCTTCATGGCTTGGATTCGTGAGAAGGTCTTTCGCTTTAGACCTAAGATTCAAAGACTCTTCTTCTTCCATTTTCCCGAGAAAATGTTGGCTTCTCGTCTCAGACTCAGAATCTTCTGGGTTTTAGAGGGTTGAAGAAAGAGAAAGGAGGAGGTTTGATTCTATTATACCGGAACTAAATATAAACCGGAAATAACCGAAATTCATTTAAAACCATTCGGTTTGATTTTGATTAATCCGGACTTAACTTGTTTCTGTACAGTGTTCTCTCTACAATTGCAAACTGGTTTGATTTTATTATACCGGAACTAAATATAAACCGGAAATAACCGAAATTTATCTAACGGTTTGATTTTGATTAATCCGGACTTAACTTGTTTCTCTACAATTGCAAACTGGTTTGATTTTATTATACCGGAACTAAATATAAACCGGAAATAACCGAAATTTATCTAACGGTTTGATTTTGATTAATCCGGACTTAACTTGTTTCTGTACAGTGTTCTTTCTACAATAACAAACTATGTAAAGAAAGAAAAAAACAGATTCTGCAGGAACTTGAGAACTTCAGATGTACAAATCACAAAGCCTCATGTAGCTTCAGCCAATCAAACTCATCCTTTGGTATCTCTTTAACCTCCTTATTCACTAGTCTATCCAAGGTAACGTTGATTCTCCACAACACGATCTTACTTTCCCATTTCATGCCTTTGATTGCATAGAGTTTCCAAAGCAGAACCTTAACAAACTTGTATTCCATCGTTTGGTACCATTCCAATTGTTTCTTGACAATGGTTTCAACATCTCTGAAAGCTCTCCTCACAAGCCCAACTTCCATTTTTCTTTCCACAAGCTCTCTCACAGAATCTATCATCTTATTTGCAATCTCCTTAAAGGATTCAGCTTGGCTTGGGATCTTTATCAAGTGAATGGTTGCACAGAATGCACCAGTAAACGTCAAAACCCAGCTTTTGTTATCTACCAACAACTCTCTTGGTGGGTTTAGCCTTACTCTTATCTCTGGGAGAAGATTCTCCATCACATGGATCATAAACCCGTCATCTTCAATAGGCATTGTTAAGCACTGGAAGATATAAACCGCTCTCTGAAACTTTGTTTTGCTTTGTGATGTGATATAATCGAGTAATCCATACCATGCGACATTTTGGTGTTTGGACAGCTCATACACAACGTGGTTCAGCACCTCACCTAGGACTTTGAACATGCTGTCTGTGATTCCTTCTTGCTTAAGGCAAGAGATGAGCAATGGCTGGAGTTCTCTCATCTCTGAGATGTCTATTTCCACCTTCTTTGAAGTGTGATCAGAGAGTACAACTTCAAGCCGCCTGATTGCTATCTCTTTGGACCTATCTTCAACAGCATTTGACATAAAGATTTTCAAAACATCAACTGCTGACATAGTCTTCAAATGGATATACAAGCCACGTTCATATTCTGCTCCATCATCTTGACTTTCCTGAGGTTGTACGACAGGTTTGACCACTGCATTGTCCTCTGTTTTAACCACCTGATTGATCTTCCTTATAATCTCCTTGGTCTGTGTACCAAAATCTTTGATCTTGAACATGAAAGCCTTCACGAAATGACATTGTGTCTTATTGTAATTATACATAGTCTTGTCTCGTGACAAGAACTTCTCAAGATATTCAAGCCCTTGTACCAGAAACTGTTCCATCCCCTTCTCCACTAGCTTCTTTACAGAGTTCTCAAGAATGTTAATAAGATTCTTTATCAAATCAGCTCTCATCTCTGTATCCAAAATCTGAATCCCTATTTTAACAACAGTTTCTAAAGCCAAGCTCCAATCTTCAACTTCACTGTTCTCAGGACTAAGCAGAATCATCTCAGCTTTCCCTACAATTTCCGTCAGAAAAGTGTCAATGAACATACCGTAGACTGATGGCAAATCGAGGAAGACATGAAAAGCCTTGACAGGTTCTGTACACGCAAGCCAGAGGATACAATCACTGAGCTCGTCCCATCCACCATTATCGCAAACCACAACATTGTAGACTAAAATAGAAACGATTCTTCTAAAGATCTTGATTTCATTTTCTTTGGTTTCTTCCATCATCAAGCATTCAATCAGAAGTGGTTTGATTTCATGGAGACCGACGCGAGAGAATTCGAAATTGCGTCTTCTGAGTTCGGCGAGGGATTCAGCGAGTAAGTAGATCGATCGGTATCTGATGACGCTGTTGGAAGAGCGTCGATACACTTGGAGAAGCTTTAGGGTATAGCAATTTGGGAAATGAGTAGCGCAGAAGTTGAACAGAGCAAACGCGGTTTTATATTCCTTGGTTTCTTGAGGCATTGCGAATTGTTCGAGTATATTCTCGAATCCTTCGTGGCTTGGTGTCGCAAGAACATCTCTCGATTTCTCCATGAGATTCGAAGATTCCTTCGCCATTGCCATTTTTTTCCCGAGAAAATCTTTGGTTCTCGGAATCTTCTGGGAAAAATTTGGGTTTAAGGGTTGAAGAAGATGTTTTAAAAGAGTTAACCGAACGTAAACCGTTAACAAACCGAACATTAAATGAAATCATTCGGTTTGATTTAAATAAACCGGTCTGGTAGCCACGTTTCAACCCGTGGGTTTAAGCAAGTCCGACCCGTTTCCGTTTAACATAAGAAGAAGATCCATAGAGACTAGAGAGAGAGAGTCCGACCCGTGGGTTTAAGCAAGTCCGACCCGTTTCCGTGTCACTTCGCTTCCTCTCTTCTAAATCGGCAAATCGGATTTTGAGTTTCTGTATCCGACGACGGCGATGCTCTTGCATCCATCATACGAGAAGCTACTTCGTTTCCTTCGCTTTTCGCCTTCTCAGAGATTTTGCAGAGGTCTTGTCGAATCTTCGAATACTTAATCTTATTAAAGTTCATACTACATTGCATTGCGTAGGCTGTAACAGTTTGATTCTGGAATCATCATCTAGCTTAGAGTATTAGGGTTTATACTGGATCAGGAGTAGCCATATTTCTCAATTTTTGATATTGCTCTATTTGTAGTTCAATGGCTTCATTCATTGTTAGGTTTCTGATTGTTGATTGTGGCTGATTTGTTCTTTATTAGGGTTTCTACTGGATCATGATTAGACATATTTCTCAAGCTATATAATTGATGTTTAGGTTGAGTACATGAGAAGATCTGCTGGTTTGGATTCAAGATAAGATCAAATGGGCTGATTATATGAGTGAAGTGGACAATAGAAATCGAGAAGGAAGTAGAAGAGAGGGTGGAAGAAGTGAAAAAGGTCTATTTCCATGAAGGTACGAGTAGATTGTGGTTGAATGTTACACTTCTATGTTGGAGTTAGCTAGATTTGCTAAAATTTAGCATAGAGGATTGTTATGTTCTACACAACCAGCTAATGATATTGGCAGTCAATTATATGGTTTGCAGTACATGGTCCTCGGTTGGATGTAGTTAGTATTGTGTTTTGGAATGAGATGAACGCTCCCTTAACGATTCTAGAATCATGTGCATTCGCGAAACAAAATAGTACTTGATGTAGAACCAAAAGTTCGTAGTCTTTCCTAAGAGAGTAGCCACTAATTAATATTTGGCTAAAGTAGGTGATGATAATTGAGAATGGGAGACTGTTATGACTTGAACTATGTGACATGTTTTTTCTGTGTTGTAACTTACATTGTGGCAGAAGTTGCACACTGTGGGCAGGCCGATGTTGAATTCAGAGGGCAGGAAGAGTTATTTGGTGAACCAAGCGGAGTGATGAACTACGAAGAGAACCGAATCAGCCCCAAGAGGTAGGTGACTCTGTTACATTCTCCAAAACTTACAGTTCATCGGCTATGTAGGATCCTTAGCTCTCGGATAAGCTTTTTTCCTTGGTTAAGTAGAGAACAGATTGCCCTAAACCCATGGGAGGGTATCATAGTGAAGGTAGATTGATATGAAATGATAACGTACCTGAATAGTTATAACACCAACAGTCCTTGTAATATGATTTTGCGTTTTTAAGCGAGGGAGGGCATATCTTGAAAAGACATGAAGTATGATTTGGATGAGATAAGATTCATGGAAACAAGGTGGGAGAGATTGCTGTGGCATGTGTTCTCTACTCTAGTTGGTGAGATAGAGTGAGGTGGTGATAATTATAGCTAACTAAAGCCCTTTTGCTACCTGACTTTATTGTCAATTACAAGTCTGAACCTACTTTTATTCACTTTTGTAATCAATAAATATATAGATAGGGAAAATGAGAAAAATATGGACAATGAAAGAAGAACAATTTAAACAAATGAATTTATAATTGTTGTAGGTGTTTGTGTAATACAGACAGCTCTAATCCAAGGGAAGGAAGTGAAGCCGTCAGGTTAATTATGTTCCGCCGTTTAGCTGCCTGAGAAATAGGCTCCAAAGAACGCTGACGTTTGTGACATTGAGTGACTCTCACAGGCTCAGCCTGGTCAATGCAGCCAATAAGGTGAGGAAAGTTAAGCTTAGCCTTTGAGCCACGCATCTTGAAAGCTGCCTTGTCATAAGCCACCGCAGCCTCCTCGGCCGTCTCATAGGTCCCTAACCACAGTCTAGCTCCGTTCTTGTTCGGATCTCTGATCTCAGCAGCGTATTTCCCCCATGGTCTTCTCCTCACTCCTTTGTAATTTCCTCCTCTGCTTCGTGACAGCTCAGAAGAAGATGATGACGATGATGAATCTTCTTCTTCAACTGGAGATCTGGAAGCTGTGAGATCAATCTCGTCTTCCTCAAGAAGTTGCCTGCGAATCCAATCAAGAACTGCTGAGCCATTGTTATCCCATGTGAGCTCTGCTTCCATTTTGTTTTGTTCTGTGTTGTTTTTCTTCCTCAAGACTCTCACTGTGTGTTTGATTGTTTTGGTTTGGATCTTGTCTTTAACAGGTAGGAGAAGATATATATATATAAAGGGGAAAGGAATTATTCAGACGCAACTTCTCAATAGTATAGTATGGGAGTAGAGTATAATATTGGACCACTATGGAGTTGCTTGGAAGTGCAGAATCAATCACGTTTTACTCAATGTTTCTTCTCTCTATTTTATTAGTATTATAAAAAAAGAGAACAGACAAAGGAATCTTGAACCAATCTAGTTTTCGTGCTTACTCGTTTTGGTTGCACGCAGCACGAAAGAGCTTATTATATAGTATTAATGCTATTTTATATCCCGCAAAGGCGCAAACCAAAAAGCATGACGCGGTTGTATCACATTATCCTAAACTGGCAAGAATTAACTAGTGCATTACCACTAATTAATTATAAAAAATCTAAAAAAATTAGATCGAAATACAACTAAATAGAGAATATATGAGATAACTTATATATAATTTTCGTGTATTTTTACCTTATAATATGAAATATTTTTATAGAAATGAGATAATCTCATAAGAAATTATTTTTTTTCAAAAGAAAATAAAATGTTTAACAATAGAAAGAAGTTGAACCAATGGTGGTGTTTTTAAAGAAATTGTTTGGTTTGGTTGTAAAATATATAAGACAATTTATTTGTTTATACATATGTGAGTATTTATAGTCCTTTTTTTTTAGGTTTAATTGCTGACTATATATTAAAAAAAAAATTGTATTATATTATTTCCTTGATCCTTTTTATATTTTATTGTAAGAAAAAAGGTAATCCTTTTCTTGTAGAATTAGTAACTTAAAATTAGAATTATTTTATAACTTTATAATTTCTATTTTCAATGAGAACATATGTATTAGAATTATTATTTTTTAAATTATTAGAATTCTCTACAATTTTTTTTGTTTATTTATAAATTAGAATAATCATTTTTACTTTATTTTTTTAATTATTTATTAATCTGGATGTCCAAATTAATCCACTAAAATTCATGTCCAAATCGTTTTGAGGACCGGATCACTCGTACTGGGCCACTAAAAACCCAATGGGCCACTGTCGGTTTTTGTTTGTATATAAAAACGATTACTCCCTGGATGTGCTTAGTGTTGTCCTAACTGCGATTTGTTTCACGTCTGATTAGATTTTATTCAGCAACGAACATATGGTGATGACGAAAACAGCTGTGTTCTGGGACATCGGGTCCTGTCCCGTTCCTTATGGTTATGACCCTTGTCTGGTCGGTCCGGTTATAAAATCAGAGTTGAAGAGATCAGGCATCTCTGGCCCTATCACCATCACTGCCCTTGGCAAACTAAAACTCATCCCTACTGATGTCCTTAAATCACTCTCTTCCTCTGGAATAGCTCTTAGAAACGTCTCTCAAGGTTTAGTTTTATTTATTTATTATGATTTTCTATTTTTTGTTGCATGCATTGTGTTATTGAGTTTGCTATGTGTGTTTGTGAATATAACAGGTTTAGGTGGTATTGTGGCATGTTTGTTAGTTTGGAAATTTCGTAATACAGCTCCAGCTAATTTAATGGTCATATCCAATTTAAAGCTCGAACCCGATGTTGAAGTTGAGCCACATATATTCAAGAATCTAGTTTCCGAGCTAAGTTTGAAAGGAAACAGACTTCTTTGGGCGTATCCATGTGTTCCTTCAGAGCCATCATGCTTCTCTGCGGTTGTTTCTAAAACATGGCTATGGACAAGCTTGCTTGAAGCTCCCGTTGATGATTCTGATCATGAACTAGTTGTTTCCAAGGACAAGTGTGTATTATCTCGTCCCTGGTATTGTAGTGTATGCCATGTTGAGTGTCATAGCTTTGAAGATTTCACCACGCATCTCAAGAGTGAACAACATGACAAGAGGGTAAGCATTGACTTCTCTGCTCTTTCTAAGTATTGTATCAATACGATTTTGTTCATTTCCTCAATTCCATTGGTTGTGTATTTGGTTGTGATGACGCAGGAGTTGCACTTCTTGGGACTAATTGAGCATCAACAGACAAATGTGTAGATGCCAGATAAGGTTGTTGAAGGCTTGAAGCTACTATTTCCTTGGTGAAGAAGCAACCAAAAGCATGATTTAATATCTCATATCTTTAGAAATAATTTTTAGTGTAATAGTTTTTAACAGAGAAATCTGATGTCTCATAAACAATTCAGTCCAACAGAGAGACATATATGAACAAGACACACTCAACTCAAATGGTGTCTTGTTCTGATACTTTTGTTTCCCACAATGAAACGAGAATAGAGAGACATATATGAGAATGCCACTTTCGAAACCTGAAAAAGAGAACATGAAACAGATCAAACCTGATTCATTAGACTGATTCAATCAAACATACAAACTGATTCATTATACAGAAGATATCAAGATCAATACAAACAAAATAAGATCAAGATTATAACCGAAAGTTCTAAAGATTATGATACAAACATAAACAGAAACTCATTCAAACATTAGACAACATGTCAGTTATTAGTTTGTTCTTCAAAGCCACTTCCAAATCAGAAAGTGGCTCTTTTTTTGCAAGAAGAGTTTCCAGCAAATTGTTCTTCGACAGCCTCTGCTTCATTGCCCAATCCTTTTGCTTTATCTCCCACATGCCTTGAAACTCCAACAGATTAGACTTTACTGCCTTAACACTAGGAGGACGAGCTTGATCCTCATCTGGAAAAGAGCTTGATGACTGTGCAGAGAGATCATCACACTTTCTTCTCTTTAAAGCTCTATTATCTATACTAGACACATAGCTACACCATTTTTGATCATGCCTTAGCTCTCTCCACGCATACTCAAGGGTGAACTTCACCTTGTGTTCATTGAGGTAGATCTGGTAAGCCAAATTCATAACATCATCATCACCCTGGCCACTTGATTTCTGTTTTGTTGCAGCCTCAAAACTCACAACAAACTTGCATACCATATTGTTGATCTTCCACCACCTTTGTCTACAGGTAACGCGTTTTCTCTTTTCCAAACCAGCTAGCTTAGAACTAGCAGCATAGTAAGCTGCAACGCGTGACCAAAACGAACCTTTTTGCTCATTCTCTACAACAATAGCATCCTTACTAGTGTTGAGCCAAGCTGAGATGAGCATCAAGTCTTCTTTGCGTGACCATTTCCTTCTTTCTTTACGCTCCTTAGGTTGATCTTCGTCTATGCTTGGATCTTTATAAATCTCAATCTGATTTGGTTGTTGAATCTTCCTCATTTCCTCATTCTCACCAAACTGATTTGGGTTTTGACTGTTTTCACAGATTTAAAAAGCTTGAAACGACAAAAACTTAAAACAATATGCCAACCAAAACAGAGAAACAAAGCAATCATTAATAAGAAGGAAGTAAAGACTGATTATTTACTCAAAGAACCCTAACTGTGCTAACATGAAAGAACCCTAATTTTTCTAACATTAAAAATCCCAATTCAGATAAACCCTAATTACAATCACAGCTAATAAACCCTAATTCACGAACAAAAATAGAAAGAATCATACCATGAGAAAGAGATTTGAGGCATCGATTTCACCAAAACATTCCGATTTTGCTCCAAGCCAATCTTCGATTTGGGGATTCAAGCTTCTCTCCGATTTGGTCTTCCGAACTCGCAGATGGTGACTAACCTCGGTGGAGCTGTTGTTCACGGCGGAGAATCGAGAATTCCGATTTCACTGAGGGAGAGAAGAGAGAGACACGAAGAGTGTTTTATCAGAATTGTGGTGTCTAAAATTTTAGCCAATCAAAAGCAGACACGTCATCGGTTCTAAAAAGTTCTGAAAACTCTCAACTTTACTGTAGTTTGGGTAAGCCATTTCCAATTTTGTGGGTCTCTTTAAGTTCTTTTAGTGTTCATTCAATTCATATGATATAAAAAGGTTTTTGGCAGCAAAAAAGATCTGGATTACACCATTTTTATCAATCAAACAGAGCAAAGAAGAACAGAGTAAAAGCTATGTTTCACTTCAATGTATAGAGAGATATCAAAACCGGCCGATGATTTAAACGTCTTCTCAAGTTACAAATCCTATAGGAGGAGGCAAAACTTGCAATCTCCACCAAAATGGCATTTTTCTCACATGAAATCATCATCGTCCATCGCACCATAAGGACCCGAAACAAGATCGTCGTCAGGCTTATCCACATGAAGTTGTTTCTTCTTACCTAAACAAAACACATCGAAAGGAAAAAGGGACCGGTTTGATCAGATATGTTTGAAGCAGACATGTTTAGCTTTAAAAACATCTAATTCACAAGTCTAATACAGAGAAACCGTTCTATGGAGGTAAAATCGAAAGAGCAAAGCAAAAAGAACCGACTGATTGTGGTGTGTACCTGTCTTCTTTTTGCCAGCAGCTTCTTTCTCCGCCTTCAATTTTTCATTTGCTATTGCTGTAATGGACGAAGCAACGTCTTTAACATCTGCTGCTTTCATATTGACCACAGAAAGTCTCATCACTGCTTTGAGTAGACCAATATAGTGAAAACTTTTCTGCAAAACAGCAGACATAGTTAAAAATATGGGTTAACTGGTCTTATCATACAGAAAGAAGTATCAGTTGGCTAAGACAGAAAGCAATAAGAACAGTATAGTGCATACCTCAAATGGTACAAGCCTCTGAGATATTAACTCAGCATATTCCAAGAAATCGCTTTCAGACTTGGGAATAAACATGTCGACGTTTTTCTCAACAGTCTTTACTCCAAAGAGTTCAGCAGTTGACTGGTAATCAGCTTCCTCCACAAGCCTGAGATAAGAATAAATTAAACATAAGCATACTGGGTACTAGTCTTCATAAGTCTACAACCTCTATCACATGCTCTTTACAGTACTAGAAATTACTACTTTTCTAGCTAAACCATATCAATGCAGAACAAACAAAATAAGCATATGTAAGTGAAATATTTCTAAATTCTACCTCTGCATGCGAAGTTTCTCAGCAATTGGATCTAGAGGTTCTTCCCTTGATGATTCTTTTGAAGCTTCAACAGTTTTAACCTTCTTTTCAACAGCTTTAGCTCCTGCTTTCTTTGGAGCCTTCTCAGGAGCAGGCTTTACCACAGGTGGCTACAGAAGAAACAAAGATTGTTAGCCGTATCCTCAAAATCAAATAAGAAACAGAAACCAATAATAAAAAGTATTTACGGAAAGAAAACTATACCGGTGCTGTTACATCTTCCTCCTCCCAAGAGTCCTTGATATCATTCTCATCCACATCCTCATCATCCCAGTTACTTTTCAGTTCAACTTTTGCAGGAAGTGGTTGAAAGTCCTCGGCCTCTGTAATCAGAAAGGAATACCTTAAAGTGAGAACTCTAATATATTTTCATTATAACAACAGAAAAAAGCCTATATGTGCTGCATAAAGCCAGTACTAACTTTTACATAGTCAGTGAGAATAATGCAAAACTAGAAAACATTACAGTATATTCAGTAATCACCGACGCATATAGAGCGTGTATAAACAATCTTAAGGTACGACAGTCTTACCCCAATCATCCATATTTGTTGCCAATTATCTACGACAAGTACAAGCTGCTATCTGAATCCAACTGAAATCCTGCACAGAACAAAACAAATATCATTCAGCAGGGCTTCTCGGAACAAAAAAAAGTCTTGCAACAGTGATGCTTACATCTAATTCATACATTACATTTATATCCTGAACGTACCACGGAACAAAACTCCTATCAACCCATTCATAATTGCCCAAAAACCCTGCTAGAATTACTTTGAAGGTCAAAATTTCACAAGTTAAGAACTTAAAAACACTTTATCATGCATAAACACTCTAGTCCTACACTACTTGACATGTGAATAGAACCACTAATGTACAAGCATAGAGCCTCCTTACAGGGTAAAACAGAACTTTCATGGTCTCACGTAGATGTCAAACTAAACAAAACACACCAAAATGCATCAGAATAAGAACTTTCAAGGAACTCCTCAAGCAAGCATGATCAGCGTTAAACAAAACAGATGATAATAGAGCATTCAGAGTAACCTTACAAACAATTAACTCTACTCGTTTCATGCTTGTCTTAGCAATAGAAATTCAAAATAGGATTCAACTTTAAACATCATCAATCACACAAAAGAACATATCAAAACCCCAAACAGAGTTCCACTGATCGATCAAAGTGTAATCCAACCCAATTAATGATAAATTACAAAACTTTATAGGATAAATCAACAACCCAATTAACAATAAACAGCCACTGAGCTCTACAAATCCCAAACCTAAACATGCAATTCAAGTAAAATCGAAGCCAATTGAGAATATACTAAGCCAACGGAGGAGGAAGAGAAAGCTACCCAGTGAAAGGCTGAATCCTGAAGGTAGGTTTCAGCCGGAGAAGAGAAATCGCCACCACGAAAACGAAAAAGATGAAAACTTTCCGATGTGAAGCAGACGAAACGACAACGAAGAGAGAGCTTTTGTTCGGTTGTGCGTCGTTTTAATGGGATTTTAGGGTTTTCTCTCCCCTTTCTCTACAATATTCGCATTTAAGTTGAATTTACTATATTATTTTTTTCCTTATTACTATTATATAAAAGTCAAATTTCTCAAAATTACTCAAATTTATCTCATAAAGAAATATATTTGCGGATTGATGATTATAGAAAACATATTTTCATAAAATACCATTATTAGTTTTAGTTTTCAAAAATATCACTATAAATTACTTTTTCTGAAATTATCACAAAATTATTTTAAATGATTTGAGTTTTTATGAGTTTTGTGAAAAATTATAAATCCATAAAGGTCATTTTTAGTGTTTTTGATATTTTTTGACTAAACAAATTTGTAATGGTATTTTTGGAAACATACATGTTGATTGTATTTTCTTGCAACAAAAATTTAGTTTAGTAGTATTAGGGGTGTTTCTCAAATATTAATGAATTTTTCAATAGTTTTATTTTGTCATTTATTTACTCGTCCAAATATACTGATATTTTCTAAGAAAAAAAAAACTCTAACTATTTTATTGGTTAAATTTATCATGAATATAATAATAGAGATATTGTATTTTAGTTAACTTATCTTATAAAAATACTTTGGTTATTTGATTGGTCAAAAATATTTTTACAAATATCCCCTTTTGATGAGAGATATGAACAAGAGGTTTCGATTATAATAATAATTATTTTCTATTAAGTACGAAAGATCATACGAACACATCTCTCGCGTTATAATGGCATAAACCTTAGACCATTCTTGTTTTACCACCCGCATCACCATGGTGATATTTTTTTGTAGCAAGTAAAGCTATCTTTCCTTGGTAATTCACAAACCTAGAGAAACCAAAGCACATACAATCGATTGGTTGGTATATATTGCAATGGAATCATCAAACTTTTCAGTCGCGACATAGAATTTCACTTATCTATGTCCATGTTCTGTGTGAGCACCATAATACACAACCCCTTCAATGCATATCCCTTTGGTTACAGGAGAATGAATATTCCCAACCTCGATCACTTTCCATGAACCTTGGCATCCCAAATGTAAACACTTCCACTTTATAAGGACAGTTCAAACATTCTTTTGAGAGAAACAAGACTTTATATTGAAAACTTATAGGATCATATCCCATATACCATGTCTTGTACGGTTTATAAGAACCCGACCGGGGCAAAACTACGCCTTTACCTAGGGCAGGATTGCATATCTGCAATTGATTCTTGTATTCGATACATATCAAATTATTGACACAATAAGGCGTGTAGGTGTATTATCGACGCAATATGTCTCATTGATAACCAAAGAAGGATGAGATGGTGTGAAGAAATGCCAATGAGACAATGTGAATAAATCAGGAGAAGCAAACATGACACCGACACGTGGCTGACGAGTGGATCAGCATCGAGATTTGTATGCGTTGATGAAATGTTTGACTATGGATGATTGAGCTCCATAGCTTAGATACACATAGAAATATCGCTAGGGGTTTCACAGGCAAGCATAGAAAGATTTCTACCAAAAGATCTTCAGAAAACATATTTTAATCAACAAAAAAATTACTAATTTTACTGTGTATTAAGAGTTATTTTTTGTTTCTGATATATAATAACCATGATTATAGCTAATATATATACATGTATGCAATGGGCCAAATTTGCTTAATCATTCATAAAAGATTGACTTGACTAACTTTTTTGTAAAAAGGTATGTAAATTAAATTCGTGTCTAAATGGAGACAATTTAGGCACGAAGTCCAAGAAGAAGAAGATGAAGCATAAAGAATTGCCTCTCCCATCGGTATTTCTCCATAGTTAGCTTCTAATTGTGAGTGAAGCTTTCTTGTAAGGCTAGATCTCTCAGGTGGGAATTTTGTCCGGCGACGTGGTTGTCTTCCGGCGAGTTTACTTTCTGAGATAACTTCATTCTCTCTCTCGTTTTCGAGCCTTTCTTGTTGCATACTGATTTATTCGGCCGATTTTCCTGGCATGAGACCACCTCCAGCACCACCACCGGAGTCTCTGTCTTTACCAACTCCCCCAGATCCACCGGATCCTCAGGACCGCTCCTCTTCCGACGATTCTCATGCTCAGCCGCTGATCCTACTACACACCACCAGTCCTAATCGAGTTCGCAGCTCTGACGTCCCCTCACCGCCGCTCCTCTTCTTTGTCGGAACTTTACTCCGCTGTCCACTGCCGTGTGTAGTCCGTGTCGTTTAAAACGCCACCGCCACATGGTCATCATTCCACACTCTCCAAAGGTGAACCCATGGTTTTCAATTCACTGTTTGGACCAAAAAAATGGGATTAGCTTATTGGGCCAAGTTTGGATGGGCTTGTTGTTAGACCAAAAGAAGAAGGTTTTTATTGGGCCTTAGTACCCTAAAATTCATCCTCCTCTTTTTTCTCAAACGATCCCTTCATCGCTTCATAGCTCTTAACTTGCTTCACCACCAACCATCACACTTCATCAAGCCACGACACCTTCTCGGCCTCGTTGTCAGAAGAGTTGTTTGCTTGGCATTCACAATCAACGTATCCCCTCTCCTTTTCCTCCAGGTATAGTCCTCTTTTTCGCTTTCTGCTTCTTTTGATATGGGAAGTTATGAGATGATCGTTAAGAGGGCTCTAGCTTTGTGGAATTCAGATCTAATTCTTTTTCCTGTAGTGGCCTTGGATACTCTTGGATCCACATTTGTGCTGTCTTGTAGCACTCTTATCGCCTTAGTGCGACCCTTTCCTGCAATATGCAGATTCCATCTCGAATTGGCTTTGTTAGAAGCCGTCTTGTGGCAGCTTGAAAAGAAATCTTTTCTCTCTTCCATCGTTCAAGATATTCTGGTTCACTAGGGCTTTTATAGTTCTCATCTGGTCTTTTATAGTTCTCTTCTCTCTTTTAAAGAGCTTATAATCCTCTCGAATACTTCACTTGTGTCTAGTGGTATTGTTATAGGGAGCATTGTCGTCAAGATTGTTCTGCTTGGAGCATAAGCGAGGATTGTTGTTCAAGACCGTTCTCGTTCAGCTTTTGTTGACTATTTGACTTTGGAGACTTTGTTTCCTCTTGGTGATTCACCTTCACCCCTATTTTTAAGTCTCCTTTGGAGCTTTGTTGTTGTTTTTGACTTGCCTCCTTACATGATCTCCTTGTTGGTCGTTGTTTTAGTTGATTTGGCTCTTTGTAGCTTTGATGTATCCTCCGTTGGTGGAGGCTAAACTTATCTCCTTTTGAATGAAATCCTTAGTTTGTCCAAAAAAAAATTGGAGACAATGCAATTAACAATTGGGACTACATTTTTCTGTATAGATTGAAATCGGCATCTAAATATTTAAGTCAATACAATTAAAGATTACAACTTGAATTTTTTCTTACTTTTTAAAAATAAATCAAATGCCTTAGTAAGGATCTAAATTTTTTTATCTTATATGTAACGCATGTGTCCAAAATATAGGTGTCGGTTGACATCACTAATTTTGGTGATTAACCGGTTCAATTTTGGAAATTATTCGGTTTGGTGAAATTAAGAGAAACCCTAAAAGTCTTTTTTTTTTTAATTTGAGGCAACCTTCTTGTTGTCTCTAGTTATGTTTTGTTGCTTCCATTGAAAGAGTGAAAGAGAGTTTGGCATGTGAAGAGTTCTTGAGGCTTAAGAACAGGTTTTGGAGGGGGTTTAGAGGTTCATGAAGCTTGTTTCTAGTGCTATAAAGTAGAGATCAAGGAGCTCGTGTCTGGTTGTCTAGTTGTTCCTCATTTTCCTTTAATCCAAATCAGAGGGTGGGTGGATGACCATGATTTATCTAAGCATTAAGATCGTGTGGTTTGTGTTGTTGATTGATTTTCTTTATCTTAATATACTTTTATTAACATTTAACAAATTTGATGATGATGACGACGGATTCATGAGATTTTTAAATATTTTTTAAGGTAAATTAAAGAGAAAAATGCAAAAAATGTTGATTTGAAAGATTTGTAAACAAAGCACGCGGTCAATCTTCATCGTCTTTTTTTTTTTTTTTGGTCGACCATTTAATTTTATTAAACAGAAGGTAAATTACAGAAGGATTTAAACATTACACGTATACAAAAGTTTACAGTGTAGAAACTAAATTTAGCAATAGACACGTGTTCTTCTTGGCCACGTCACGTATCTTGAGGAAGCACACCACCGTAAGCTTTTGCCGATGTCTTCACGATTCCGATCAAGCTCCTTAGATTGATAGATTCATCCTTTGCTTGATGGAGAACTTCTTTCCTTCTGTCAATTTTCTTCTGCCGATCTCAGATCCATCCAAGAGATATGTCAAGTTTTTCTGGTTTCTAGAATAAAACTCTTCAAATCTTCTCCAAAGATCATCAACTCCGGGAAGCTCCACCACCGAATACATCCAGATTTGATGCAATTCTTTTCTTTGCTCTTATGATATGAGTAAAATAAAGCGATGAAGATATTACTCCACAAATAGTTGAAGAGATTGAAGAAAATTTGGAAGGATAATCAGATAACTTTGACTAAAAGAAAACACAAATGGATTAGAGATCTAGATCTCGCTAAAACGAGAAAGAAACCGGACTTAACAGGTGCAAAAGTCCAGAATTTAGCTGGAAAACTATTTTACAAGATAAACTCCGGTGTACCGGAAATCTCCTTCTCTCTCTGAAAGATAGAGAAGCGATAAGAGAGAGAAGCTATGTACGCATGTTGATCGGACCCAAACAAATTTTTTTTTTCAAGGTTTAGTTAAAAGAAAAATGTGCTGACACAATTTTTTTCTCTAATCATATTTTATAGCATTCACCCGCTGTATTGCTATAACATACACCAAAAATTAATCTCATAGCATTTTACACACACTATGGCTGTAAATGGTTACTCTAAAAATGAATGAGATAAAAATAATGAGATGAAAATAATTAGGATGAATAGTTTTCATCTTGTTCATCTCCTTTGAGGTGGAGGAATTTTTTTCTTTTTTTCTCTTCTTTATTCCTCTAATATGAGTTTTTAACTCACCTCTTTTTTCTTAAAGTTTTTGTCACATACTATATATCTTCCAAATTATATGTTTTCCAAACGTACAGAACATAAATCCAAATTATATCATTAAAAATAATTGGTAAAAAATACAAGATTTTAATTACAGTCACAAAATTTTAGATTAATCATTTTTTTAAAAAAAAAACATTTAGATAATTCATGCTTTCAGCAAATTTTTTTTTTTTTTTAGTAAACTCTTCCAGCAAAATCCTAAGAGCATGTTTGACTACAGAAGAAAACTGTAAACAAAGTGTTGCGGACATAAGTTATACGAAGGAGAATATTTCCTCTTTGCTCTGTTATAAGTTATAACCTTAATTATATTCAACTTCACAATTTTTGGAACCTTGTAATTAATTGACCGAGACTTTAGGAACATTTTTTACGTGAGTGCGTTCACTAATAAATACAAAATTATCAAATATGTCAATTTGGAATGAGTTGCATGATGTAAAAGTATCAAATTGCTCTTATCAAAGCAAATAGTTCACCACAATAATTTTACAGAGTTAATTACTCAATAAGGACTTTTTTCAAATGGCATTTTTGGTTTTACATTTTGGTAAATTCTTATAGATTTTCTATTTTTCAAGTTAGAAAATGTAATTAAACACGCGTTTTACTCGTTATGTTTGGGTTTAGTCGGTTCTAATTATCTTTAGGGTTTAATATTTACTATAAAATGTGTCTTTTAGCAAAACAAAATAAAAAAATAAACATCTTTAAAAGTTCAAAATTGACAAATCCACAAGATTTTAGCAAAAATGGCACATACATAGAATTTGCCCTAAAAATGGCAAAATCCGTAAAAATCTTTAATTTTACAATGTAAAAGTAGAAATTTATATTGGCGAATGTATAGTACAATTTCGCTAGGAATGAGTTGCTTACAGAAAAAATGCATGCATGCGTCGCCTCAAAATTGTGCTTAAAACTCAAGAAACCACGAAATTAAGTATTGGTCGGACGTAATAAAACGTTTTCAATCTATTTGTTTAGTTAAAAATATGGCTCTTGGATTGCCAAACATGACAATGGATTCTCAACCTCCAATTAGTTAAGATATCTCACCTCAAATTAGTTTTTTTTTTTTTTGGTAGTACACCTCCAATTAGTTAATGGTATATAAACTATATATGTGGGTTTTTTTAATAGTGAGTATCATTGATCGTTCATGCAAAAAAATGTATATTCGAGAATGAAGAAATCAGAGACATGAGCTATAAAATTCCACGAACCATTACCATTTAGCATAATCTAGCATGCTTTTATAAATTACAAAATATATAGTTACATATCCAAAAAAACAATCCTATTTATTGAATATATAATAATATGCTCAAGCATATAATAATAAACAAAGATAAATATAGATAATATTACTAGACGGCCAATTTCATATCAAAGCTCAGTATAGTATATATACGTCAATCTCACACATGTCTTTCATGGATGTTACGTGGTCAATTTATCACTAAACCCTAATCATGCATGTTTTTTTTTTTTTTTTTGACACAAAAAAAATACACAAAAGACTTGAGTTTAAAGGTTTGCATGAGTTAGGTTACTTTTCCAATCACTGACCTAACTTAACAGTATGACATTCCTCTTAACCATTTTGCATTATTCTCTCATTAATTTTGAGAAAAAGGTCTTCTGATTACGATTAACAAAATAAAAATATAGTATAATAAGACAGAATAATAAACAGTTTTGTCGACCACTATCTCCGAAATAGAGTACTCACCAAGAAACATTTCAAGATTTGGGGTTTGTTAGGCTAACAAACGTTTGGGAAAAAAGAAGGCCACGATCGATATAAGTCCCTTAAAGAGAACGTGACTCCAAAGTGTACAAAAGCATTCACTTACGGCAGTGTATTCAACGAAGTGGAATTCTAAAGAGATTTGTATAGAATTTATAAATTTTATGTTATTTATATATGTATTTTTAAAAGTTTCATTAAATCCAATGTGTTGAACTAATGATTCAAAAATTAACCTTAAAGTCCATTATTACTGAAAACAATTTGTGGATTTGATTTTTAATGATTTTGAAAGATTTGAGAGGAGTTCATTAGTTAATAAATACAGAAATACAAATCTCATGATTTTATGTGATATTTGAAAGTATTTTACAAAAATCATATGAACTTTCTTTAAATCATCAAAATCATTTAAAAATAAAAACTAGAAAAAAAATCATTTTAAATTATACTTTAAATCGCCTTAAACTATTTCTTTATCATTTAACCATATATCAGTGAATTAAGAATCAGTTATCAGTAATTTTGGATATTCTTTCTTTGGTAATTGTCACATTTGAAGGAATATGATATTCTCATATAATATATCATAAAAGCCTATTTGACATCAAGAAGTTAGTGAGCGGTATGCATGGTTAAATAAATTAAATACTTTTAATTAAATCTCAAATGTGATATGTGAAGGAACGTAATGGAATGCATTACGAAAATTGCGGACATGCATGAGAGGGAGGTTTAAGCAGAAAGTTTGGTGCATGAGAGCTCTTCAACTTCGCTTTTTGTCTCACAATATTATCAACTTAAGACTCTCTCACACTTCATCATAAATTGGCACATATATATATATATGTTTATGGAGAATATAGTAAACTTCTATAAATTAATAACATAAGGACTGTAATATTCTATTAATTTATCGATATTTAAGTTAAATCGAAAACATAATTTGGACAGAAAAATATACTAATTTGTCATATATTATTTTATAGAGGTCATATTGTAATATTTTTATTCTTTGAAATTGTACTTAAAGTCCTTCGAATTTTACAAGAAATTATATTGAGAATATCATATTGCTTCAAAATTCAAATATGACAATTATTCCTGCGTTTATGATTATAGCTATTAATAATCATCAAAAGCATAATTGTACGTACTTGTGAGTTTTGAAATCCTTATAACACTTATACAATATCTTTATGTTTTTCCATCATTAATAAACCAATCTAAAAATAATACTATAGTATCCATATACAATTTATATATATGTTATATTATATGTATATGATTTGACGGTCATTAGTTACAATTTTTGTAACTATACAAGTTATGTAAGTTTTTGGATCTAATTAAGAAAGCATAGTAAATCATATAAATGTACACAATAATAATCAAACATCTATTGATTTTGTATTGTCATCAGTTACATATGCTTCGATGTCACTAATATATATGATTTACTTCATTATATGTTGCCAATTCTATAGTTAATATAATAAAATTTTCACTAATAAAGTTTCACACCATCGTGTTGTTTTAAGAATCTTAGTATCACACATATCATATAATTGAAATGTTCTTTGATTATGAAGGTTTTAACACAGAGAAAGATGTACATGCATCCAAAATAGAACATACATGACTTTACATTACTTACTCTATAATACACATTCAATTTTTTTGAACATTATCATATAAATATGTGAATAAAAACCCTAATAAAAGCTTGTTGCTGATGCAGCAACAGACGCCACTTAAGAAAGCTACTAATGTCCAAACTTGAATGTGTGTGTTTTTGCTTCGTTCTTCACTCTCTATAAATTCACTTCATGATCTCTTCTCTCTTTTCACTCATCATCAAGTTATATTTTTTATTTCACTTCTTTCTTAATTTAGAGAGTTCATAATATATATATATAAGTTGTGTTGAAGAAAGAGTTCGTAAAGAAGTGTGTCTTTTGGTTTGAGTTATTCGTTATTATATATATACATTTGTTTTAACAACCACACTTATTATTATATTTTTTCTTACTTACTTCCTAAACATGTGTACTGGAAAATCATCATCATACACAAAATCCTCACCCAATAAGGTTATTCAATAATTAGTTACTTTTTCTTAAGCTACTTCAATAATTGGGTTACTTTAGTTGTTACTAATTTTGTGCACCTAGCTATATGTATATAAACGTAATTATTTTCACATGTGTATTTCAAAATGTGCACGTTTTGTAAATATAATATTATCTTAAAGAAAGAGACTTACATATTGACAAATGTGTTCTTTTTTTTTTTGGTGTTGTCAAAGTTTGGGAAAACAAGTCCAACTTCTTCTGTGATCTCCATGGGTTCCAGTGGTAAAGGAATGGTGAGGATACGATTCCAATTTTTTTCTACCGAGGTGTATTAAGCATTAATCTAAAGACCATAGTTTTTTTTTTTTTATTTTTTATACTAAATTGTTCTTACTTTTAACAGGTTAGTTCTTAAGTTACGTTAAGGTTTGGGTTTC